CTGTAAATGAAATACCATATATGTAATTCTGCATCTTTCAACTATATCAATAGTGACTATAAAAAGAATAAGGAAAAATACATAATATAGTGTAACAAATGTCTCACATGAACTGGCCTTGATGTCTTTTCAAAGCTGGTCTTTAGAATTTTACATTGACAACATTCAAAGAACGTTCTTTTTTACATGTATTTTAGGTTTATTCGTTTCTACCATGTTTTCCCGAAAATATGACCTATTCAAAAATTAAGACCTAGTCCAATTTTTGGGGGGACTAATATACACCGTACCCCAAAAATAAGCCCTAGTGAAGGGGGTGGGCGTGGCCAGCATAGGAGCAGCCCTTCCCTTCCCCAGTCACATCATGGCTGCTGGGCCCCTTAACTGCAGATCAGCTGATCCAGCGAGGGCCAGGAGTTCTGTCTCTCCGGGTGCCTGGAGATATTTCCAGCACACTCTTGCTAGCCCCAGTCCTGTCCACAGCACCAGGCAACTGTGCAGCTGAGGGTCTCTCTGTTCACAAGTCACCTTGTGGCTATGGAGCAGGTGGCGACCACGGTTTGAAAGGATTTCCTCTGCGCTGTTTCTCTTTTCCACTCCACCCACCCAGCTCCCCGCCCACCGCACCTGGGCCTGCTGGGCATCATCCGCCCCAAACCAAATGGCAGGGATGCTTTGGGACAGCGCCCTTCTAGCACCCACCGCCCTGACAAAGGCAAAGCAGGCGGGGGCCAGGTGGGGCTCCTCTGATGGCCTCCCCAGCCCCGCCCCGCTCAGGGTAGCCCATACACGAAGTGAGAGTATGGGTTGAGTTTGGCATTTCACCTTCCTGCCTTTTGCGAACTTTTGGCTGCACACAACGAAAGCAGCAGAAGCAGTAGAAGTCTTTCTTTCTCTCCCCCAAACTCCGCCAGAAATGAGTCTTTGTGAGACTTGTTGCGTCGCTGCAGCCTCTTGGAGCAGGACTCGGCACAGCTTGTTTTGCCATTGCACGCACGAACGACAGCATCGCCACGAGCTTCATCATACTGGCACAGCTGGCGTCGTACCACACGCGGCTGCGCCAATATATCAAACCTCGCTGGGGCTAGCAAGAGTGCGCTGGAAATATCTCCAGGCAACCAGAGAGACAGAACTCCTGGCTCTGATCCGCGGGCCGCAGTTAAGGGGCCCAGCAGCCATGAGGTGACCCTGCTTGCGGCCTCCTGCACCTCAAAAAAAAAAGAAAAAAGAAAAAGAAAAAAAAAAAGAAAAAAAAAAGACCTCCCTGAAAATAAGCCCAGGTGCTTATTTTCAAGCCTAAAAGAAAATAAGACCTGGTCTTATTTTTGGGGAAACACGGTAATAGTCTCTGATATTTTATTTTGATACTGGAATTTGGAATGGTGCATCTAACTTTGTCACTGAATTAGTTATAAGTCAATCGTATTATCTTAACATGAATTATACTTTAATGAAATTAAAAGTTTTAACAAGAAAGATAAGCCTAATAAAAAGTAATATAGAATAAAAAGAAAAGAAAAAGACAGAAATCAGAAAATCTATACTTTTGTCTACATTTTTAAATTCAGGAATTTTCTAAACACAGTATAATTGATTCAGTGTTAGTTAGAAATACTAGTTCATCTGAGGATGTTCAGTATTTGATGAAATAATAACTAGTGATTCTCTTTCCCTGCTGCCTTTCCAGACAGCAAACTGAGTATTTTTCTGGGAGAAAGGCTTAAAGTAAAAAGCAGTTCACAAACAAATCCAGAAAAAAGGAAGATAGTTGTTTTAAATACTGAACCTCACACATGAACTAATACAGCTATTAAAATATAAAGCTTCTTTTCTTTTATTTCTGTGCTAGTTGGAACTGGCAAATACAGTTTGCAAATACATTATACAGTGGTTGCCATGTTCAAAATGCCTTTCTACCTTCCATCTGTTATAAAGAAACTACTTGTTCTTAGTAATATAGCACATATTAAGCTACTGATAATTGAAAGCTTTTTCCATTATGCTATGTCTGTAATATTCAGCACAATCAATTGAATATGAGTGACTATGACACTGTTAGTGAAGATCTCCACTTCAGATAATTTTATCTTAAGTATTTTTTAATCATTTAACATTGGATATAGGATGAATGTGTTTCCCCACTATAGTATAAGTGTTTTTTCCACTGTGGAGATGTGGAGATATCTCCACTGTGGAGACTTATGCAGTCTTTTAAAAAAAGTAACAGCAAGTACCTTTCTTCCTTCCATCTGTAACAATATTCCTTGTACATCATTGACCATTTGTTACTTGCTTTTCTTTTTTTGTGCCCTAAATGTAGGTTTTTGAAGCCTATGTATTCAATACTATCATATATATTAGACTTGTTCCTTTATATATATCATAGTATTGAAAACATAGGCTTCTATTCCCTTTCTGCTTCTGTTATATACCATAATTACGACAGTGTGCACTAAAATGTGACAGGGATGCCATAAATGTCCAATGGATCTTTTACATCATAACTAATAGAGATTTGTGAGTTATCAGTTTAATTCATAAGCAAACAGTTCCAATTTCTCATTCCTTTTGTAAAAGTTACTCTTAAAATCCAATCATATAAAAATAAAACTTATTTAAATTAATCTGAAGGAGCAAATATAGCTGAGAAATTAAAGTTATATGATAAGATTACTTTAATTATATCAATTAAATTAAAATATTTTAAATTACAGATGTATACCATATATGTTTGTAACTATCTTGCCCTGAAATGATAAGTGTTCAAAATACAATTTGCCCCTAGATTCATCAGTTATAAGGAAACTCCTGACTTGCTTTTCCCGAATATTTCTTACTATAATTCTTAATTTTATTAACCATTTTTTAGTTATGGTGAAATAGAGCTTTCGAAAGGTAGCACAGATGCTTGGTGTCAGAGCAACAGTTGTGGAAATGAAACAAAGTAACCTGGAACTCTATTCCTTTTCAAAATAAGACTACAATGGCTTATTGATATTTTCCAAGCAAAAATACAACTGAAAATCCTGTAAGCAGGAAAAATGCACTTCTAAATCCAAGCCTCAGTGAGCATCAGAGTTATTATTCTGAGGTACTGCTGAGCAGTTGCCTCACTGATACTTTGAATATTTCCTATTTCTTCTCAGAATAAATTAGATGGAAGTGGAAATAGGCAGGAATTAACAATGCATCCATCCAATTTATTTATTTATTGGTTCAATTTATATGCCGCCCTTCTCCAGAGACTCAGGGCGTCTTACAATGCGTTAAGCAATAGCCTTCATACTTTTGTATATACCTGCTTAGTAGGGCTTTTGCCCCTCCCCCCCAGCGGTGTTCTTTTTTATACAAAGTCAGCTTATTGCCCCCACAATCAGGATCCTCATTTGACTTACCTCGAAAGGATGGAAGGCTGAGTCAACCTTGAGCCTAGTGAGATTTGAACTTGCAGTAATTGCAGGCAGCTGGTGCTACTTAACAGCACTTCAGTCTGCTGCGCCACCAAGGCTTTTTTTGGCTGTAGCTGTAACTAGGCAGCTTTTGTAAGAAAGGAGATAGTTGGGCAAGAAACTGGTTGACTTGGAAAAATTATTTTTAAAAATCCAGGTATTTTTAAATTTGTATTCTTTGCTGATTTGTATTCTTTGCTTTTATCCTAGTAATTCCGGGAAAAAAATCACAAATGGGAATTGTTTTCTATAGTTTCAAATGTAACAATACTTTGGTACTGTTATTCCTCATATCGTCACTGAACTGTTTTGTCTCTAAATGACCCTTAATCTAGTTCTAGTACATGAGTTTATTGAGAAGAGGGGGAGGGGGCTAGAAATCAGAACAAGTGACTATGGTGGAAAATAACAGCCCATGTTCAACTTTTTTTAGAGCAGTAATAATTCCCCTGCTGTTTTTCATGACAGGCATGCATATTCCCATGGGAAGTAAACAAATATACTATCAGACTAATACATGATGCAACACACAGTAGTTCCAGAAGCTAGTTTCCTATTCTTGCATAACCTTCTGCGATCTGCATTAAAACAACAAAAAGCAAGTTCATAAAGGACACTGATTTGTTAATGGGCTAGATTAATTTTGAAGGAAGCAATATGGAATATTATAAACTGATCCTTAACACCATAATATTAGGGACCTATCACTAGCCTGGTACTCTCCATGGTGACTTGCAGTTGAACTCACAAATCTGGAAGACATCAGGTTGCAAAAGAAGACATAAATTATAAGTTATTTATAAAAATATTTGTTTTATAGCAGTCTTCTATGTTTGGTACTATAAACTAATTTAGATAAACTTGTGGAATCGGGTTACATTTGTTTGTTGAAGAAGTGATGGGAATCATCAGGACTAAACGGGTGCCTATTTAATATCCAAGACTTGTTTAGCAGTTTTGATGATAACTGGATTTTTGAAGTTGTTCCTGCAACTTACTTCTCACTCCAACCCTTCTAGATAACTTTTCCTTGATATTTATCCATGGGAGAAAAAAAAAGAATGAATTAAAAAAAAATCCACATAAATATCACAAAAGAGGTACTCAAGATAGCCTAATCCACAATTAAAAAAAAAAAAAAGAGTTTGCTTTGCTCTCTCTGCTTAGATGGAATACTTAGTTTCTAATGACAGCTGAAGGGACTGGCAAAACCAGGAGATCCAAATCTAAGGAAGGACTGAACTCTCTGCCAAGCAAAAGACCCAACTTGGCCCCATCCACTTGTTAGGAAAAAAAACCCATTTTCCTCCCCGTATTATAGCCACTTTATGGGTGAATATGTTATCATACTCGATTCATGGTAAGGTTTAATAAACATATTTTTAGCTTCAATCCCCAAAACCCCAACTCCCCTTAAACACGGTAACCCCCCCCCAAAAAAATCTAATAATGTATTTATGCATGCAGTCCCCTTGGGACAAGGCGGCATCTCCGAAAGAGGGAAGCCTCCTACTCCGGTTCCTTTCTGGAGCAGGGGCCGATCCTTACCCCAGAAGCCGACCTCGGTTCAAGCAGGTGAGGAACCAGTTCCTCGCCTTCTCCCACTCCGAATTTCCTTTCTTTCTCCTTTTCCTCCTCCTCCTCCTCCTCCGCAGCTGCCACCCCTTCTTCCGGCGGTTGGGATCCCATCGCCTCCGCCGGTGGGGGATCCACGCTTTCCAATTTTACGTCGCAACCCATCATGAGGCGTTTGTCGCCGACCGCAGGCAAGAGATCCGAAGCTGCGGCGGCAGCAGCGTTGGAGGCGGCCGGCCGGTTGGGCAGCGCCATGGCTCCCTCCACTCCTGGTTTCTTTCCTTCTCGCTCTCTCTCTCTCTCCTCCCTTCCTGTCAGCCGGCTCTGGGGCTGCCTGCCATCCTCTTCTCGCTCCGGCTCCGTTCTGCCCAGCTCGCCTCCGCCTCCCTCTCCCGCGGTTACCTCAGGCAACCTTCCGCGCTCGCCCGGAGGCGGCGGCCACTGGAGCGGGGCTTTAACGCCCCCGCCCTTATCTTATCCTTCTTTCCCCCCCCCCCCCACCCCCCGCCCAAAAAAAAAAAAAGAACTCCAATCTTGCGCGTGCCGCTTCTTCCCCGTCCCGCCAAAAGCTCCCCGCTCCGTCCCAACCGCCGCGGAGATGCTCGCGCGCTCGCTCGCTCTCGCTCTCTCTCTCTCTCCTCCGCAGTCTGAAGAGGGCCTGACTAAGCGCTCCCTGCCCTGAGTGGAGCGGAGGCGGCGGTGGCGGTTTTTTTTTTTTTTTTTTTTAGCGCGTTGGTCCAAGCAGCCCCGCGCTGGTCCAAACAGTGAAGGGAGAGGCGAGACGTGGCAGTATCTCCCTCATTGCTTCCCCACCGGGCGGTGAGGGAGGAAGACCCGTCAGTCGAATTGCCAGACTGCGGCGGTTCCTCTCGCCTGCCTCGCCCGCGACCTCCTTCCGTCCGCACTTCCCCACCCTTTCCCGCTTCAGCAGGCTTCGAAAACCCAACCCGCCATGTTTTGTTCCTGGGAGGCAAAGAGTTGAGGGGCGACGAGAAGAGCCGGGTGTGTGGGAGAAAGAATCGCCCACCGGTTACGAAAACTCCGTATTGTCGGAGAGGCTTCCCGAGCTGGAGCGAGAGAAGGGAAGCTCTCATTACGCAACTGCCGCAATTCAGAGATTATTGTTATTTTTTTGTGAATAGCGCTGTTTGACGTCACGCAGAGCGAAGGCGGACGACAGGTTGCTAGTTCGAGCGGGGAGGACGCGCGCGGTTCTTTAGCTAGGATGAAACCTAAATAAGATCACCGGTTGTCCTGCCTTTCTCTTCGTTTCTTTCTTTCTCCTCTTCCCTTAGGTTTTTGTAGGGACCTACTTTGGCTTTGCATACACGGCGGCTGCAAAAATCCGGACGACCACTAGACGACTGCAACAAATTAAAGAGCTTTTGTGCATGGCTTGGCGTTGCGGTCACCTAATGGTCGCCCGGATGATCCCCTTCGGATCTGATCCGTCCCATTGAATATTGGTTAATTGGAGCGGTTCCATTTTTCTAAAAAAAAAAAAAGAAAAAGGCTGATGAATGTACTTTTATTATTTGTATATGCAGCACAATACATACCTTTGAGGCCTCTTATGAAAGTATATAAATATTTTAATTGGGTTTTATAGGGTTCACTTTTTACGAAACGGAAGACGCTTAAAATGGCAAATATTGTGTAGCACGTTTTAAATGTTACCACATCTTTAACAGTTACCAAATACATTTCGTTTTCGTAAAAAATGCAAGTTGAAAAGTGCAGTTTCACCTCAAATCCAATAGCTGCGCTATGCAGTTAATAGAAGTAAACTTATTTTCTTAATAACTTAAGACTTTTTACGCTATAAAGATAAAAATAGTCCAGAGAAAGAAAAAAGGTTTAGAAAAAAGGTTACGAATGAAGCCAAAAGGGGAGAAAGAAGTAAAAATATAAAGGAATTATTTCCAATTTTCTTTTATAAATTATAAGTATAAATTTAACTTGACTTCTTATTCTAAGATTACAACATTGATTTCATTTTTTCTATTTTCTATTATTTTTTCTAATCATCAAACCTATGTATCAAATTTCATTTTTTTCTGTCTCAAACAAAGTCCCATCAGCATTAAAATAAATTAATGTGCTTTCTATAATTAAAATTATCAATTTCGCCATCTGAGCAAGTTCTGTTATTTTCAGAAACCACACTTCCATTGTAGGCATTGTCAAATCTTTTCATCGATGTGCATATAAAAGTCTTGTTGCTGTAATCATATCTAAAAACAAAGTACCATAACTTTCTCCAGCTTTTTTTCAGTATCAAGAAAATATCTATGGCTTCTGTTGTATATTAATCTTGAAGTTCTGAATTAAAACTCCAAAGGTGTTTTTTCAAAAGGCAAGTGGACTTTCTGGTTTTTCTTTGAAGACATTTTGCTTTTTAACCAAGAAGCTTCATCAGCTTTGACTGGATGGTGAGAAGAAGCTTCCCGGATAAGCAGTGAAACGTCTTTAAAGAAAAACCAGAAAGTCCAGTTGCCTCTTGAAAAAAACACCTTTGGGACAACCTGGATAATTATGAATCTCCATAGGCACTTCTGAATTAAAATATGTATTTAAATCCAAAATGTTTTAACTTTTTTACATATCCACCAAGCACAATAAAAAACTGTTCCCAGTCTTCCTTACTTCCTCTTTTACTGCTTTGGGTGTCAACAGACTTTTTCACATTTCCAACATATATTTGAAGTGATAATGATGATGAAATACAAGCAATTGTATCCAATCCATGGTTTAGCTAATAATACATTTTCAGATCTTGGATGGCTTCTTTTAGTTGTTTCATGTTCTGACTGGTGTCGGCCTTGAAATTTAAAGTATCTCTCTACACTAGATATTACAATCAAAATTTCAGCCGATTTTATCATACATTAAAAGTTTATACATTTTAGCAATAATGTCTACATCATTTGTATATAGTTCTGTTTCAAATTCATTTTACAATATTCAAAATAAAGTCCTTTTATCTACTTGAAATCTTTTTAATGTATATAATAAAACCATTGACATGTAAATGAAATAAATTTCATTTTTATTTTGAAATCAGAAAATTTCAGTGTCACTAGAAGCTAACCATTTATATTTAATTATCATTTCTATAATATGTTTTTTGTGAAGAAGAAAACCTATATGAAAAAGGTATTCACCTAGAAAAATATGACAGTAAAAAGCACTTAGTGAAAACTTGTTTAAAATGTCTCTGTTATATGATGCTGGATAGCTGTAAGACTTGCTCTCATTCTGCTCATATCAAGTCAGGATGGCAAAGAACATTCCAGATTAACTGAAAGCTGTCCAGATTGAGAGATAAACTTAGTCTTTTCTAACCCAAAGAAGCATGAACAAGTTTTGGATGTAAATTAGAAATTACAGATTTCATATTTTTGAGTTCAGAACAAAGCATACCATGTTCCAGACTTTTGCACTAACTTGGGGACAAAATGGAATGTTTTGTTTCAGTTATTTTAAGCATTCTGGTGCTTCATGACTGATTTATTTTTAAATAATATTTTTCCAAGCCAAGGAAGTCAGTGCACTAGACAATAAAATGGCACTCATAATTTCCATCCCTGTTTCCCCGGTCTGGAGCTGATTAAGTGGGGGAGGGATACAATGGGGGTGAAGAAGCAGTAAAGCATATACAGTATTGTTTACTATTCGTTTTAATGTATTGTATTCTTGCATATTCTGTTGCTTTCCTTTGGGTAGCTGTTTGCAAACAAGTATTGTAATCTTTATTATTTAGGAATTTTAGTCCTGCTGAATTTTTTTATAATTATCCTCTTGGACAAATTGTGTTTAATAAGAAACATTCATAATAGTAGACCATTATCTCAATTAACTTTGTCAAGCTGGTAATAAATAAGTCTCCAAAAACTCCTGCATATTGTAACAACAGAGGCTTCATAAACTTTGATAAATTGCTTTATTGTAGTCAAATAAATAATTCATATATATAATGTACAGAACATAAACCTAATGAAGAGCACAAGATCAAATTCCAAATTTTTGTCCATCCCAGAGTTTAATCCTAAGAGTTTCTACCTACTTTACAGAGGATCTTTGGTTCTGAGATTTTGGCTATCATCTTTGCAAGTTGTAGACATCTGTTCCATGTTTACACAACAGTTCAGATTCACTGCTTCTGTTCTTGCTAGGACAATACACTTTAGATCAAGAAGCTTGTTTCGGTTCCAGCTGTTACCATGGAACATTTAAGGTCCACAGAAACACAATTAGGGGAATCTGCAGCAATAGTCTTTGATTTCAAAATGGTGATTATTACCAAACAATAGAAAATAAAGGTAAAGTAATCCCTGCGGATTTTACTCCACTAGTCATTGACTATATGGGACGGTGCTCATCTCTGTTTCAAGGTCACTGAGCCAGCACTCTGAAGACATTTCCACCATTCTATGGCCAGCATAACTGTGGAGCTCTGTTACCTTTCCATCAAAGTGGTACCTATTTATCTACTTGCATTTGCATGCTTTCAAACTGGGAATTTGGCAGAAGCTGGGTTGAGGACAGGAGCTCACCCTGTCACATGGTGCTTGGGTCTCGAAACCGGGCTGCCAGCTTTCCAGCATAACTGCTGAGTCACCATGCTGCCCAGACAATAGAAGCAATGTTCCTTTTTACTTGCATGCACTGTATGTGACAATTAAAAAGAAGCAGGGCTTTGATTACCAACTTGTATCTGTTATTTTGAAGTCAGTGATCATCACTGCCAATATCCCTTCCAGAAGTTCTGATGGATCATATATTTACAAAGTCTTCGTATAGCCACACTTGGAATACTGCATCCAGTTTTGGACACCACAATATAGAAAAGATGTTGAGACTCTGGAAAGAGTGCAGAGAAAAGAACAAAAATGATTAAGGAGCTGTAGGTTAAAACATATGAAGAACTGTTGCAGGAATTGGGTATATCTAATCTAGTGAAAAGAAGGAGTAGGGCAGATATGATAGCAGTTTTCCAGTATTTGAGGGGCTGCTATAAAGATGAGGGGGGCAAACTATTTTCCAAAGCACCAGAAGCAACACAAGAACCAATGAATGGAAACTAATCAAGGAGAGAAGCAACCTAGAACTAAGGAGAAATTTCCTAATGGTGAGAACAATCAACCAGTGGAATGCCTTGCCTTCAAAAGTTGTGGGTGCCCCATAACTGGAGGCTTTCAAGAACAGACTGGACAGTCGTTTGTCTGAAATGGTATAGAACACAGGTGTCAAACTCGCCGCATCATGTTGCATTACATGATGTATCACAATATTTTTTCCTTTTGCGGAGCTCGGGTGGGCACGGCCTGCATATGACACATCCAGCCTGCGGGCCTCCAGTTTGACACCCCTGGTATAGACTTTCCTCATCGAGCAGGGTATTCAACTAATTAACCTCCAATGTCCCTTCCAACTCTGTTATTTTATGTTCTATATTTTATGTTGAAACCACCCCACTTGACTGTC